CAGCGACTTAAGACTGGTTTTGTGGTCCAGGGTCACATATGGAGTTTGACATTCGGTTGATGCTAGTCAACTGAGCTTTTCCAAAACTGAATGACTTGTGTGTCGTTTACTAAGTTCAGACAGCGAAACTGGGTTTATTCAATTTGTAGTCGTATTTTTAAAGTTAATAGCGACACCGGGCTGCACGAGCTTGTGTGTATTGTGTGTGTGCAGTACACAGTGGGCGCTCGGGGGAAATGTGACTGGATAACAAGCTGAAACGGCCTCTCCGACTCAGAGCCCCCGCAGCAGGCTGGCAGACATCCAACTCCCGTCCTGATGGAAATTGATAGTGGAGATTATAACGGGGCAAAAGCATGTTTAGCAAGTGGTCCTTCCTGACCCCTTCAGGCACTGGAACACACACTCAGATATTCCCTCCCTTCCACCCACACGCCCTTCACAGACGCTCTCACACACACCTCCAGAGCGCTAGTCATTCTGGGTCACATTCTTCTGATTTTATTTGTGGTTTTAAGACTGCCGCTTATCCAAGTCCAGTAGCCGGAGTGATGAGTCATTCCAGGCCTGCTGCTGAAAGCCCTGCAGTGCACACAAGCTTTGATGACAGGTGATAACTGTCAGCATGAATTTGGCATTGCTCAAACGCTTGATGGTCGTCCATCTGTGCGTGTGTGTTCATTCCGGAGAGGAGTAGGGAGATATTTCAGCACAGATTTTTGACAGCATAATTACAGCAGATCACAGTCAGGATTGACACTCGGCTGCATGTTGAGATTTGATAGCTGGTAATTTAGCCTCCTTTTCTTCCTGGGGCAGTAAAGAAATCGACATGTTTAATAAGTGCAGTCTAGAGGTGGGCGGTATGACCAAAATTCAGTTTCAAGGTATGACTAATTTTATTTCACGGTAACAATATATTTCACTATATAGTTATGTATATATGTAGTTATTCTGAAAATCGACAAAAGGGCTTTATATAATAAATAAACTCAAATACTTTAGAAATGAAAAGTACTTCACCTTGTTTGATTTTTCTTTTCATTTTATTTGGTAAATTATTTATGTAGTAAAAATACACTTAACTTTTAGATTAACTGGCCCCAGCTGACTGATATTAAGGTGCAATTAAACTTTAAGGTGTTTCTGAATTATGTTTAAAGGGGTCATATGATGCTTTTTTAAAGATCATTACGTGGCAGAGTCTTAACTTTGATAAAGAATATCTCTTTGGTTTTGAGACTTTAGTCTTTGCAACTTCAGGGATCTTATCTATGCACAATCAGCTTGTAACACTCCAAAGAGAAAGGAAAACTTGAAATCGCATCATATGACCCCTTTAAATCTCATTTTATTGTTTAACTTCAATCAGTTTATAATATCTAAATATTTTATAATTACATTTACTTCCTTTTCATTTTATAGGATATTATAAATACTTTATATTGTTTAAATTTGTGCCCGGGTACAGTTTTGCCATGTCTGCTTATTATACTGCATTTTTAAGGGGCTTGTTTTGCTCTTTTTGTGATAACTGGCAACCCTTCACTGGAGCTTTAAGAGAGGGAAGAGTTCAGTAGTGACTAGAAGGAAAGCAGCAGTATGCAAACTGAACATCAGCTACTGTTAGTGCGGACTAAGTAGTTTAAATTATACCCACGTCATTATTTGACTCCAGCCCGGTGAAGACTGTTCCCTTACTATATACGGTAAAAAAAATACTGTAATACATCTAATGTCATTTCACAGTAAAATAATGTTCAGTTTGCATTTTTTTGGAAGTGAATTTCCTGTGTGACACTGCATATTTGTTTTTTCATTGAAATAACTTTTTCATTTTAGTTTTTCTTATCAGTTATGTACATTAGGGCTTTGTGTTACATCTTATTTTGAATTAATGTTTAGTGCAATATGTGACGATGATTACTTGTGATGAACTTTGATTCATTGTGGATTTCTCATTACAGTTTGTGTTATTGGGTGGTTGTCAGTGTATTATAAAAGTACAAAGTGGATTGTAGTAATTTAGTAGATTGGTATATTCACATTAAATCAGTTAATGAAGATAATGTTTTTACGGTAAAGTTCCAGCTACCTCCAGAATTTTCATGGGTTGTTGTTTACATTATATGGCTTGTTGTAAAAGTGAAATTTACTAATAATTATCTAATTTCTATGGCCATCTTTGCATGAATCTTCTGCAGTTCCTGCCGCTGAGCACATCGAATATGCACAGTTTCCCTTCTACCTCAACGGGCTTCGCGAGACGCCACAGTTCGTGGAGGCCATCGAGAGTGTCCGCTCCATCTGCAGCAACTACAGTTATCAGGGCCTGCCCAGCTACCCCAACGGCTACCCCTTCCTCTTCTGGGAGCAGTATGTAGGCTTGCGCCACTGGCTCCTGCTGTCCATCAGCGTCGTGCTGGCCTGCACCTTCCTGGTGTGTGCCGTCTTCCTGCTCAACCCCTGGACTGCGGGAATCATTGTGAGTTTCTCCTTAAGATGTGTCAGGGTTTTGTGTACACGCACATCCATCACAAACTTGGCTCTATCCGTATATGTACATTCAAGGCCTGTACAAACCAAGTCTGAATTTTTGGCATGAAACAGAACATTTCTATGAACTCCTTTATGCTCTTAAATATCCAATGCAATTATTTGTTATTTTTTTAGTTGGAGGCCGAGCTGTTTTTTTTTGTGAATTTCATAATATTTGCCATCAGACTCACTGTTAGTGAATTTGGCATTAAAGTAATAAAAATATTTGCAAATACTGTGCCATTTATTTGCATTGGTCTTAGATAGATAGATAGATAGACAGATAGATAGACACAGACAGACAGACAGGTAGGTAGGTAGGTAGGTAGAAAGATCGAAAGATAGATCGAAAGATGAATGAAATGTTTCAAATATGACTTATTTTTTGTCGTTGTGTTTCAAAATAGATGATGTCATTGAACAGATGTGTAACACTTTCAAAATACAAACTTTTGAAAAAATATTATTAAAAAATCTATTATTAAAATTAAACATTAAGATTTTTTTCTGTTATTCGACAATACATGCATCAAATTATTAAATATAATGCTGATAATTAGCAATTCACTTACATTTCTCATCCATTAATATCTATTTTCCAAGAATAAAAAAGTAATTGACTTTCATTTTTGCAAATGTTTTTTTTTTTTTTACATATCACAGTTGTGACTATATTTCAAAATTGCAACTATTTCTCACAACTGCATTTAATATATCTTATATTAATATGTGCATTTAATATATTTTATATTTCTCAGATGCACCTATTTTCTAATAATTGCACCTTTACAACTTATTATTGCACACATTTCGCTCAGTCGTGACAGTCTCAGAATTTGTTATTTCTCATATCGCGACTTTATATCTTTATCACAAACTTTCTCTCTATAACATTTTTGTTTACTCTGAGGTGGAAACAAGCTTAATAATTAAGAAATAACTGAACGTGCAGAATTTGGAGCAAGACGGGAGGGCAGGCAGGAATAGCTGAAGAGAAGCTATGTTTTTACAGCCCTGCGCTTTGTGTTTATTTTATTCTGTCAGAGCCAGTTTGTTTAGTCTACATGAGGCTTTTTGAGACGTTTCTCCAAAATAAATGGGGAAACGAGGGGTTACCATAGCAACTATATCACTCCACATATAAAACAGACCTGCTGAAATGTGTGTGTATGTATCATTTCTATCATTTGTGAGGCCTAACTTCCTTTCCCACACTCTGTCTCAGCTTTTCGATGGTTTCTGTTTTATTAGGGGCAGCGTTTAAGCCATCTGACTGATCTAACTCTGTCTGACAGGATAGTAGTTTCATCCTTTTGCTTTACTGGACACTTGAAAGGGAAAGTTATAGCCCTGCTCCAGCTTTTACCATTGTGCTTTTGTCCCAGACCACCAGCGGCCCCCTTAAGCTCCATACGTCCCCACTTCCGCCATGCTCGACCCCCCCTTTCATTTGCCAGCCCTTCCAGCCCCCAAACTCCCCTCCGTTGGCCCTCTTTCTGTCCTCTTCATCCCTTTTCAAAGGCAGCTGGGCCCCCCAGTAACCCAAGACTCATCAGCTGATTATGGCATTTACTTAACCAGTTCATAGCTCGAGTTCAGCTCCATATGAAAGCGTCGCAAACGGGCCCTTCTGAGGAGCAGATATTTTCCCAAATTCCTCGGCGCTTTATCTTAGTTAACCCATCTAACCCGAGCCGTACTTTACTTTAATCTATGTAAAGTACAGCTCCTCGTGTTTTAGGAATGAACCAAGATGATGGATTTATGTTTGCCGGTCTTCTCTCTCAGGTCTTGGTGCTGTCTTTGATGACGGTGGAGCTGTTTGGCATGATGGGATTGATCGGCATCAAGCTCAGTGCTGTCCCTGTCGTCATCCTCATCGCTTCTGTTGGCATTGGTGTGGAGTTCACCGTCCATGTGGCACTGGTGAGTTCATGTGCTAGTCAAAACTGTGACTATTTCTCATAATTGCACCCTTTTTATCTTACAATTGTGAATATATGTAGCTAGTTAACTCATTGTGATGATTACTCAGTGTGTTTATTGGTCTGAGTGATTTATATTGATCATATTTGCTGTGTTTTCCTCACAGGCGTTCCTCACAGCCATCGGGGACAGGAACAAGCGAGCCGTTCTAGCACTTGAGCACATGTTTGCCCCAGTGCTGGATGGAGCATTTTCCACCCTGCTAGGAGTCTTGATGCTGGCGGGGTCAGAGTTCGACTTCATAGTCAGGTAAAGATAGCAGACTTGTATTTTGAACCACTTTCTGCCTCATAGATTGTAGGACATTGTACTTTAAGATGGGGATAGCGGTGTTAATCAGATTAATGATCAAAACAGTCTGTCCTTTGATAGTAGTTTTTATCTTTTTTGAGGTAATGCTTCTCAAATATTCATTTTCTAACAATGTTAGTACACAATAACTGATCTTACCGAATATTTTTCCTCAATATTGTATCCTAACCATGCAAGATGTGACAATTCCAGTGACAAGCAAATTTTCTGTCCACACTGAAAACAATGGTAAAATTATGGTTAATCAAAAAAGATGGCATCCTTGTTTAAAAGGTGTAGTTTACCCAAAAATGAAAATTCTGACATCATTTACTTATCCTAATGTTATTCCAAACCAATAAGACTTCAAAACACAAATGAAGATATATTTTAAATGCAACCTGAGCTATTTCTGCCCCTCTATTGAAAGTCCTTGTAACCAAAACTTTGATGATTCAAAAAGTTCATAAAGAGATCATAACTGGATAGCATAAATAGAGTTTATCAAATATGGCAAAACAGAAGCTCAGTTGTGCTTGCTTGACATGCAGTAACCACTAAGATTTGTTCTTGCGCATCAAGCAAGCACAGCTAAGCTTTAATTGACCAAATATGATATGCTCTATTCATGTGTTTTGATCAATGTTTTCCATTTCAGAATACTTGAATTAAACCAATCGATTCATATGAATTTCTTTTATGACGTCTTTATGAACTTTTTGAAGCAAAGTTTTGGTGGAATTGACTTTCAATGGAGGGACAAATCTATCAGGTTTCATAAAAAATATTTTCACTTTTATTTCAAAGATGAACGAATCACTTGAGTGTGAGTAATTGATGATCGAACACTTTAATATTCATGAGGAGTATGATTGTTATCCAATGAATTTCCTGTGAGGGCGCAGCTATCTGGCTGAAAAATATGAATGTATAAACTTAAAAATCAAGCTACTGATGAAATATTTCTCTCTTTGCTCGTCATGGCTGGTTTGGACAGAAACTAATTAGCATAGCTTTTAAATAGGGCTGCCCCCTAATAGTCGACTAACCGTTAGTCGACGAGACGAGGCTTAGTCGATCAAAATTTTATTAGCTGCTTAGTCGCAGAAAAAAAAAATTTGCACAGGAAGTGGCGAACTCACAAAGTCCGTGACGGACAGATTATTAACAGCTGGTCTATGTGGTAATTACAGTACATCGGACATCCAAACTTGTTTTGTTTATCGACCTCAAATGTGGCTTATTGTCTCAAACAGTAGTAGCAACATTACATGGTCGCTCGCTCTAACGTTAACCTAGAAAAATGTGTGCTATTCAAGTGTTTGTGCGCAGTGTGAAAGCTGAATAGTAGCGCACTCACTGCATGACAGTTAACTTGGAGGCACCAGTGCAATCATTTGCATTTAACTTAAAATACTCTGTCATTTTTGCTCATACAGAGTAATACATCTTTCGAATTTGTCAAAGGTTTACTTTTATTTGTGTGCACTCCACAATAACAACAAAATGTTGTGCTTTTGTAAAATGATGAAATCAAACAGGGTCCGCTTTCTGCCGTCTAGGTCACGGTAAACTGTGTGTGCGTCAAAAAAAATAAAACGAAACTATGTGCTTGCCTCACAGACATGAAAAATATATCTATAGAAAGCGAAATGTCTACTTTTAAAGGAACCAATTTAAATGGAAAACAAATATTTTCAGATTATGTAATCCGTATGAAACATGCACGTCCTCTGTGGAGATGATGAGTCAGTGTCGTCGACTTCATCACTGCAGCCGAAAATACAGAAAACACTAGTTTATCAATAAATTATTATAATGTTAAGGCAGTCTTCTTGATGTTTTTTCCCTGACGCATTCATAATCATTACTTCTGCAGTGCGCTGTGACAAGCTTTATGCATGCGCTTGAGCGCTGATAGGCTATAGGCTATTAAAGGCTCATTATTATGAATTATAATGTTTATTAATATAAACGTGCGATTAATCGACTAATTGATAAAAATGAACAACTACTAGTCGACTAGAAAAATCTTTAGTCGAGGGCAGCCCTACTTTTAACATGTGTCGCTTTTGTCACATCACGCCTGGTTAGGACGCAGTATAAATGTTTTCCTAACTTCTCAGTCCTAACCAACCTCCCTTCATGTTCTACAAGCACGTATCTTTCCTGTCTGTCATCACAGAGCTTGAGGCTCTCCTGTGTTTTCTGTAATCTTTTTATTTTCTACAGCCCTGCAAAGACATTTACAGGTTGAGTGCAGAGAGGGCCCGGGGGTTAATTTTTAGCAAGTCGAGGACTGGAAATGAGGAGTGACACACACTGCTACTTAGAGAATCTAAATTTTGCACTGGCTTTATGTTTTATGTCCTTCCTGTGCACAGATGAGTCAAACATATATGGTAATTTATTGTTTCTCGAAGTGGTATCGAGACTATCGTTGTGCTGAAATTCAAATTACACATATCAAACTGAGTCATGGGTGTTTGAGTGGTAAGTATCTCATCTGTTTCTACAGGAGGGAAAGAACTAATGTCTGCAGTAGCTCATTCTTATTAGAGGACTGGAAAACCACCACGGCCCTCCACCCTCAAATCACTCTGGATCTAAAGTAGCATGCCAGAAAAATAATGCACACACAAGTTTAGAGCAATCACACACACTCTCTCCGCAGACCACATTGGGCCCCAGTCCCTCTCATGGGCTCCCATTGAAACGCACCTACTGTTTTTTCATCAAACAAAACCCCCTGGCCTCCGAAGATATGGAAAAAAACAAAAACGCTGGCTGTATTTTTATAGCCTTGCAGGAATAAATGTTTTCCTGACTTTGCTCTGTCAGGTCCGCTAATGTTTTGAGTCCAAACAGATCGGACGGGTTGCTCGGTGAGCTTTCATTAGGGAGAAGTGGCTTTCGTGAATGGCTCTTGGTTCTAGGATGCTTTGGAGTTCAAAGTTGAAGAACATAAAACTCTTTTGTTGCTTCAGCCAGTCTGAAGGAATCACTCTCATCTGTGGAAAAGCACACCAGTGTAAATCACTCGTCAATATGAACATTTAGTTTGGAGGGGGTGACTTTCCGAACAGTTCGACCAAGACGATGTTCATTTTTCATAGTCTGTTGATTTGTAGCTAATGATCTGTTTGATCTCTCTGCTTGTGAGTTCTGCCTTTTGTGTGGTAGAGCAAGAGCCAAAGGCAAACCAAAAAGTGCAATTCAAGGAGACTTGCTTGATGAAATACAGACAAGACTAAAGATTCAAACTTTTTTTCTAACATAAGCCTAAATAATACCAGGCTGGCTTCTCTCTCCACTCTCATCCTAAACAAGTGGGGTCTGCTTGGTTAAACACTGTGGAAGCTCTTCCCTTGAACCAGACCTGCAAAACCTCCCGAAGGACATAAATAAAGCAAGCATTCCTAGAGAGACACCCAGGTCTGTGGTTCTCAGAGAGAAGCCCACCTTGTGCGTCCATTACAGGACATTGTTTGAGTCTAAAGAGCTGCTTGCAAACCTGGGGAGGCCGAGAAAGAGCAGCATCAGTTATAAATGTGTCTGTGAGTTTAGTCTGAGGCGCAGCTGTGCTGCATACCAGCTGGTGGGTGTTTGCTAATATACCCACTTTCTCTCCCACACATACATTCACATATTCATCCATTTAAGTGTGGTTTAACTTCATTTTTTCCCCCTCCAATGCCTCTGATAGAATCACTGGGGGGGGAAAAATCCAAGAATAATATACGTACATCCTTAAAACAAGATAAATTTACTTGATAAGCAAAATATGTAAGATAGTAAGAGTTGTTTTCAGAAAATGAATTGTTTGAGAAATTATATAATTATTTTTATATATTTATTTTATTTTTATCTTTCATTTATTT